TTATAGTTATTGGGAAACTCATCCCCTTCATGCAGCTATACTGTGTAATTCTAAGACTGATGTTAAGTAGAAATCAGTTCATTTTGCTCACTTTCAAATAGTTTTTGGTGACTCAGAAATGCCTCTGATGTTTAAAGTCTGAAATATTTTGAGTAAACGTAATAACCAAATGTCCAAACATGGAGTTGGAGTTGCTGCGTCTTCTCCAAGGCAACTACAGTACATTGTTTTTTCCTCTCCAGTGGATTCAACTGGTAATTCTTCACATTCACCCAGCAATGACAGACCTGAGTACATTTCGGAGGGCGGTCGCACTCACGAGACCCTTCAGTGGACCTGTGGGCTACTTCCAGAAGAGGATGTTCCAGAAAAGCAGCCAGCATGGATAAACCAGCAATGCTATGAGTGGGTAGACTAAAGATCCGTACAGGGAGTGGTCCAGGATCCCCTGTGAAATGACTGATAGATACAGCAACCAGCCATCTTGGAAGCTGACAGGCATGTCTTGCAGCTCTTGAAAGAAAAAGACTGAAAACAGGAGTGTGCAAGCTGGGCTGAGGATGACCAAGATGAACGCTGACAAAACCCTGGAGAGAGAAAAAGAGCAGAACACGGTTTTAGTTCTGTATAGTGATAGAGGGCTATGAAGGCCAAAGTGTCTGTGCAGGTGTTTACTTTGGAACGTGGGGTGTGACAAAGGCAGCTAAGGGCACCAGAGTGAGAGCCAGAATGAAGCCTAAGGAGAAGTTGATGAGGGCAGTGCAGCCCAGCAGCACAGCCAGGTACAGCACCGCGACGAGCTTCAGCACTCTCCAGCCCTGCTCCGTGCCCTCCCCCGACAGCAGTCTGCAACAAACAACACAACAGCTCACTTAATCTCCTGCGTCAAGTTAGCCATTGTCTGATAATCAACTAAAAGTTATGTTTTGACATGTTTACAATTTAACTTTATGTACTGAACTTTGAGGGGTAATCCACACAGGAAGCTCACTTTAGTTGATCGACTCATTCGGGCCCCACAGATTTTACGTCGCCGTCCCCTTTTTAACTTAAAGTTACCAAGTGCTACTGACTTTCTGTGGTTTCTGGTCACTTTGAAATCACTTCCTATGTGGATGTCTCTTAAGTGTGTGCACTGATGCATACATAACTCAGTGTGAGAACCCTGAATGATTTGAATTTGTGCTCATACTGAAAACTCAGTTTCATAGTTTGTACATTAATGTTTTGCCCTCCTTGAGTCACTCTACTCTGACATCAGGAACTGTCGCTCACTGGATATTTTTCTCTCTTTTTCTGATCATTCTCTGTAAACCCTAGAGATTGTTGTGTGGGCAGTTTGTGAAATACTCAGACAAACCATTCTTACTATCATCTGATTGATTGATTAAATATTTGGGTTAACAAGCAGTAGGACAGGTGTATTTAATAAAATGTACAAGGAAATAAACAAGGAAAATCAATTTACACACACACACACACACACACACACACACACACACACACACACACACACACACACACACACACACACACACACACACAATGTAGTACCTGTGTGTGTTATGCGGCAACGCCAGGCCTGCTGTGTAAATAGCAATTGCTGTCAGAACCACAGCCTCGGTCTCAGACACAGGGAAATGTTCGACAGCAGTCTCCTGGAAACGGATCGGCAGCGCGTACAGAGCAACTCCTGTCAGGTGGCTGATCACCAGAGGAGTCAACACCGACAGCACTCCTGGACTGGACTGCTGGAAGGAAGCAGATTTTTAATAAAGTGTTGCTTAACCAGCAAAATTCAGGTTCAGTTTTGATGAGTTTGTCTTAGCACGTGTGTCTAACCTGATCAATGTCAGCAACTCCATCCTCTGTTGTCGATGGTGGAGTATTGAGTTGAACCCACAAGTCTAATGCCTGTATTACAGTCAAGGAAAAAAACTGAAGGTTGAATTTGTTCCCACCCTGCTCTCAGCTGTTATTAGGTTTCTTTTATACATTTCATTTCATTTTTATTTCAGGATACACGAAGCAGCAGAATAACGGCGAGCAGGCCGAAGGCTGGCATGTAGTATCCAATAGAGACAAAGTGAGAGAGTGACGGCATGAGGTAGAAGAAGTAGGACTGGTGCAGGCGCTCCAGGAGGTTATTCAGCTTACGATACATTCCTTCCAGCAGCCTGCAGGACATTCATTTAGACAAAAAAAAGATCATAAAAGTGTCAAATTACAAGCAGAACATAAAAGCCTTAAATATAAACAAAATCAGTATACACCATCTCTGACCTGCCGATGGTAGTGGCGTCAGTCTTGTACTGCCGGAAGCTGTTGACACCCTTGATGGTTGCAGCTTCGATGTGGTAGCGCAGAAACAGGCCGTGGTCTCCCCAGGGCCGCCCACTGGCCTGCTTCATCACCATCAGCATCATAGTCTGCACAGCGTGGTTGTACCCTGACACGCTATCCCAATCGTTCCTTTGCAGCTGTAAACACATCCACAAAGAAAAGCTACATAACGACTCTCCAACACATAATCTTAGCACTCTGCTAACCATGCACAGAGCAGAGTGCGTCTGTTTATAAGCATTTACCTTGCCCTGGATGGTGCAAAGAACTCCTATCTTCTGACAAAAGGCATAGAAGAGGTTTGCTAAGTCCAGGTTGGGTAACTGGCCATTGAGGCCTTCCAGTACCAGGTCCAAACTGGTGATGACATCACTGCTAAGCTCCAGGGACAGTGCTGCCTGAATTGATCCGCCACGGCCTTGTAATGGAGACCACGACATACCTGGATGAACCATTTCAGCAGTAAAGTTAACTTAGTTGTACATCTCTTTCCTTTATTTTACTGTACTGTAACTAGATACACGTGTTTGATCACCTGTAGTGTTGGTGTGATGGTAGCCCTCCAACCAGGCCTGCATACCAATCAAATCATGCTCATTGACAAGGAAGATGATGTCCTTTGCCCAGTAAATCTGATCTATTAAAAAAACAACATTCATTAAACCAAGAAAAGCAACTGCAGCATCATTCAAATTGTGGAGGAGGAGAGGGGAATGAGTGTTGTACTCACTTCTGAAGTACTGAGCCAAGCCGAGAAGCAGTCCCACAGCCTGGTTGTTGTTATCACCTGGGCTGCAGGGAGCACTCAGCACCAAGGCTTCAGTTCGTGGAGCTCTAGGAGCTCGAAGGATACCATATACATTTGTGCCTTTTACAATCTGCCAAGAAGAGGAGACAGCACCAAAAACAAAGTCATGAAATATTCATAAAGATTATGCAAACACCAGTCTGTCTCTTGCTGAGAACAAAATCAGTTTTCCACGATAAACGTACATATCGCTCTTTGTTTTCATCAGGGAAGGGTAGTGTGCGAGAGAAGCTCTGAGTAAACACTTCCAGTCCTCGATCCTGCATATTCTTCACAAGCCAGTCCACTGGCATCCCACTGCAGAGAAGCAAATAGTCAAACAAGATTACACTAAAAACGATCAGACTTCTACCTAGACTTGAGTTTGAAAAAACAACAAAAAACTAGGAACAAACTGCATAAAGACCCACAAGCTTATAGTAAACCTTACCCAACTTTCTTCTTATGGGCTGCAAACTCCCTCCCTGTGGCCAGCGCTCTCTCCCCAGCTGGAAAGCGCTCCTCCACCATGGTAGAGCCCATGGCATTCTCTGACATGTATGTCCGCAGAGTGAACGGCTCAAAGGCCAAACCCATGAACCAAGCCACACCGGCAAAGTAGCAGACCACACTAAAACAAGACAGAAGTAATATTAATAGAGAGAGAGAGAGAGCTAAACGAAAGTAGGCAGACGGTTCGCACTGACTAAAGCTCACCAGATTGGGGCATTGAGGCGAGTCAGCATGCTGATCAAAGCCCGTCTTCTGTTTGGGTCAGATAGCAGCCCCATATTATCAGCTGTAACGTTACTCCAAAGCCTGGGTTTACTGGCGGATCCTGAAGGAAACACACTAACAATCCGTCAGGATAGCTGCCGCTGAGGAATAAACATCGATATGAAGACATTTATGACCATTCGACGCTGCGGTAATCACGCCTTTATATCGAGCTAAGAAATTGCTTCCTGGGATCCATTGTCAGAGCATCTACTGACAGCTGAGGTTAGCCAGGACGATTTCGCTAAATGGTAAATGTTTAAACCCGCTATACCCTGCAAACGCGTTTTTAAGATGTTTAACAATAACTTTGTATTATTTTGCAGAATGTATATGAAAAACCCACCTGTGTCCACTGGTCACATCCACCTTCAGAGGTGGGGCTTTATCGCAGAAGCCGCTGCTGGACGTTTTCGATTTCCTTGTTCCTGCGGGAACATTACTGCGGCGCACCGACTTCCGCTCAACCAAGTTAAAAATAAAAGAAAGTAAAACAAAATAAAACGACACAAAGAAATATTGAAAATACTCGATGAATAACCTGTTCCATCGTTATTTTAAGGTACATGTTTAAAACTTCCCATAAAATTTTTTCTTAAATGCCTAAAGCTCGTAGTTTTCATTTAGCGTGTGAGTTTACGCGTTTATTTAGTTTTAAACATCTAAACTTAGTTTTTTTTTAAATTATTATTTATTGCTATAAAATGTAGAACATCAATGTGGTAGCTTGTGGTAGCTTGCCAGTGGAAATATATATATATATATATATATATATCATCTCAAAATGTGTGAGCTCAGAAGTAAGACAAAATTTCAAGAACTTAGTAACTTAAACCTTTGAGAAAAGGTTAAAATCGCAAAAAAAAAAAAAAATGGAGTTGGACAAACAAGCTTCCATCGTAGACAGTAGGGAGCAGGTGGGGAAGATAACCAGGAGTGATGGAGGTGTGTCCTGGAGAGAAGGTCAGTAGAAACAAGAGAGGATACGTGTTTTAATGGCAGGTGGAGAGGTGAAGCTGCAGGAGCAGATGTCATATAAGTAGACAAGTTTGAATACCTCCCTCATAAATAAACAACCAATAAGGAAACGATGCATGACTAACATATTTATTATTACATTTATCACATTCATACAAAAGTATTCAGTGACTGATATAAATGAATTAAAGGTTAATATCATTTGTAAATATTTAAAGTCCAATAACACTTTCAAGCTGCACTTGGAATCCACATGTTCCCGCTGCCGTCCCACGTCACTCTCCGGTGAGCACCGAGGCTTCTTGAAGATGCTGCCTCACCACCTCATCCAGCACTTTGCTCACACCTTTACAAGCAGTCATTGCAGCCTCAATCAGAGTCTCGAGGTGATCCTGATGCAGTCTGGCATCCATCTGCAGCAGAGCGATCTGTCCACCTCGGGGCAGAAGCGCTAAAGCCAATGAGCTCACGCCTCCATTTTCCTCCGCGTAGCACAGGTCAGCAAGGGGGGTCTCATCCACAAACCCCACAGTGCAGGCACACACATAGTCCCGCATGGGGATGCCAGCGTCAATCACTGCCAATGTGGCAGCATTCACGCACACGCTGTAATTCCCTCCGTCTGACTGCAGAATCTGTTGAAAGACGATGGAAACGTGCTTGTGAACAATTACAAAAAAATCTATTTCTGCAATAATACCTCTCACCAGATGAAGCGTCAGTCCAACACGAACCTTGACATAGATATCAATTTGAGATCGAGGGTACAGCTGGGTCATCACAGCAGCCTCAAACGTCTGCTTCAGGTGGAGGCTCATCTCAGTGGATTTGCGGTCTCCGTGTGGTCGTCTCTTCCTCTCCGCTGTGCTGAACGTGGCCATGCTATACTGGCAGTTGATAACTGCTCGATCATGAAGAGTCCGACTTCGAGAACCTCGCATCTGGAGGAAAACGACAGGTAAGAACTGATGTACAGCTTGGACTGGACGTTACTGTGCTTACACACTGGAACAATGTTAACTGCACCCAACATAAATAAATGCTGCAATATACACCAACTGGACACATTTTTTGGTGCACTTGTTCGACGGCTTGTTAACACAAATGGAATATAAACGTATCATTTGCACAGAGTCAACCTGATTATTGTTGCTGACTGTGTTCATCCCTTTATGATCACATCTTGGGATGTTTGCTTCCAGCAGGATAGCACCCCACGTCACACACCTCAAACAGGTTTCTTTAATATTCTCAAATGACCTCTACAATTACCATGTCTCATTCCAAAGGAGCACCTTTAGGATGTGGCGTAACAGGAGATTAATATTATGGATGTGCAACCAACAAATCAACAGCCACTGTGTGATGCTATTATCTCAATATGGACTAAAAAACTCAAGTGGAAAAGTGTTGTTGAATTCATACCATTAAACAAGGTATGAATTCAACAACAAGTGTAGAGAATGTATATGCTATCATAACTTTGATTTCAATTCATACTTCATGCTGTTGAGCCTTATATAAAACTTACTACACATCCCGTCTGCTTTGAGCAATAATTTAATAATGATACCACACTGTGCAAGTACTGCTACAAGCAAAGAGTCTCGCTGAAAATGCCCCTTTCTCAGGTATTTACACTATATTATATCAAAATGTGGCGACTTTATGTTACTGGTGTGATGACCATAATCAAATGCATTTTATTGTTTATCCCCACTAACCCTCTCCTCCATCCGCGGCACTTACTTCGTGGGGACCGTACACCACGGCCAGAGCTTTGGTGTTCCCCTGCTCTAAATACGCAGAGCCGTCGGCCTGAGTGAACACACCCATACGGGCCTGAAGCTTCCGCAGCTCGGTGGCTTTCCTTCCATCTAAACGGTATCCTTGATCAGACAGCAGTTCCAGGCCCGCCATGTTTCCGTAAACTTCGAATGAACGGCAACGCAGCGTCCCACGTGTCTCCTGCTACACTACATTACCCATACGCCGAGTACCTAATAGAAATACGGCAACAGCATAGGTCCAAACCGAACGACAACTTCCGGAAAAGAAAACCAGGCAGAACGGAAACCATGAGAAGCACAGTTAGTATCCACAGTAAACCGTTTTCATTGTGTTTAATACTCTGGTTTCACGTCACTGGTGGCTATGGTCATCTTTTATATACACTGCTGTGGTCCAAGTTGTTCATACCAAGATGCCAAATCAGGAATCCGTGCTCATTGTGACGATTGTGATACAAACTTGCTCAAAACGTCTAAAATAAAATATCTTCTCTTGAGGCCTCTGGACTTTTGTTACTACCCAGATCACACAGTAGGATCCGCAATCCACAATGGAAGAAAGGGTGCAAGAAAATTCCAACACTTTTAAAAATAAAATTTATTAGCATCTCTAATGTGTATAAATAAAAACATATATGAAACAATGCATATACGTATGATGTAATGAGCTTAACAATAACAGGGTTACATGTGATACAAAGGAGCAGTCTTCATTTTAGCCAGTGTATTGTGAGGAAAACTGAAATCAAGCTTTCAAATATGCATACCTATAAGTTGCAAATCTACATTCTTTGACAAGAATGAAATAAAGAATCTCTTTGGGGCGATAACAGGGAGAATATGGTAAATATCCTTTTTATGCATTCCTGTTCAAAGATTTTAAAACATCTTTCATTGAGTACATTATACTTCTTTTTTTTTTTTTAAGGTTCACTAAATGTTGAGGCGCGGAGATGCAACACTATTCACACTGACCCTCTCAGCTTTACATAAAAGTTAAAATCCTAAAAGGATTTCTCTTTACTCCCTTTTACCAAGGTCACGTTGTTCCACAGACTTGTAATGAGGGTCTTTATAAGCAGGCCCGATGGGAACAATATGACTATAATGTTTGACACAGCGACAAAATATTGGAACATATCAAACTTTACATGTAACTAGCGGACCCAAGCAGATCAAACAAACAAGTGGATTTTACATTTTTACTAATGTAACAAGGTTTGTCATTTTCTGCATGGCTTGCTGTGCCTGGGTCACGATACAAAGGAGACAGTGAACATGGGGGTGAGGGGGGCTCATCTAAGGATTTGGCTCTCTAAGGCTTAAAGCAAAGAATGGAAAGGACCTCTCTTCTTGTGTCACTTAGCGTTTTCCCATTTGGTCATCCTTTAATCAGTCAAAGTTGTCAAATGTCTGGACAGATTTGCACCTAAGACAAAATCTAAATGTGATGCACACTCTTAATTTACATTGCTGACAACTGGATGGGAATCCCTACAACCCAAAACGTGTGTATCATTATTGGCCACTGTCAGTTTTTCCTCATAAATTGAAAAATATCACATTTTTATAGGGGATAACAACATCCAAGACTAACTGCTTCAAAGTAAAAAAAAAATGGATAAGTACAAAAAAACAAAAAAAAAAAAACAAAAGAAAGAAAGAGAAAAGTGATGTGTCTGCTTTAATATGCAGGTGTACGTGACGGTGACAGGTTATCGGCACCCAAGGATCATGGCGACCTCATTCAGCCTTGTGGAATGAAGGGACTATGTAGTAGATCTGAAAAAGATGGTCTCTGCTCCATCCCAAGTCTTCAGAAGAGTGCAAAGATCCCCTTATTTTCCCTGATATATCCATGTTCTCACGTCCTAAAACTCTGCGAACTCCTTTGCGCATTTTTCCGTTAAAGAAACACGGATTTCCTCCTCCTCGTAGTCGTCGAAGTTGCTGGTGTCCCCCGGGCCTCTACACTTTGGTATGAATGGAGCTTCAACCTGCAGAAGAACAGAAGGACTTGTTTTACTGGGTGAGATTATATTATATTTATGCCTACACTGGCTTGTCAGTAGAGCAGGCAATACTGTATTGTATTACAGTGAATGTAGACAGCATCTGTTGTCCTGGCAAACCCCGAATGCTGTCAACTTAAATGATGTGCCTGTCAGATAGCTAGTGTCTGAAGCCTCTCCCTTTACAATGGAGGCAGTTTTTAATAACTTAACAAAAACTGTCAACTCTGCAGTTTGTGTAACAATTCACCAGATGTGCAGATACGAGAGCACACACATCTAAATTTCCCTCTAAAGTCTGCTTTTCATTCCTAAAACTACTTTATTCACGTCCTATGAGTACAACAAAGCACAAAAGCATGAATCCTTTGATTAGACATCTTAATCCCATCTTAAAAATCATCTTCAAAGCATCTGATCTGAAGAGCTTCCACACCACAGATATAGACACTTGTGCCTTCATACATAATCAGACACACACTGTACAAACCAGCTGATGCATAGCAAAGAGTTAACCCTTTAAAGCCCTAACCAAGAAATCATTCAGAGAATTTGTTCATTGAATCTTCTGACAATTTTTGCAATTTATCGTTTAAAAGTGTGTTGTCCAATTTATTTAGGTTTTATGGGAGAAGAAAAACCCAAAAGAGCAGAATCAAAGATGATGAAAAACTGTATGTATCAAATATGTTACAGGTTAATGGGTACCTCTGGTATCGCTTGTACTTTCATCTTTGTCCCCTCTAATTTAACAGGATTTTGTATAGCTACATTTTAACTAGGGCTGCACAATGACTCAAATTTTAATCTCAATCATTTGAGAATTTGACTTCCCATAACTGTTCAGCATCACATTTCCTGAAAGCACTTGACTGGGGTGATATACTCCAGGTAACAGCCATCGAAACAAAATTTAAATGTCTGGCGCAGCACGACGTGGAGCTTGTCCCTAGAAGCGGATCATCATTCATAGTTTGGAAATACTTTGGATGTAGGGCAAGCAACGTCAGCCAAGTCATATTATGTCTGTGCCACAAAGCAGCACAAGTACCTTATTGAAAACACATCACAAACTGCAGGATAATTAATGCATGAAGGCTAAGGAAAAACAATGCAATGGCTGCTAACAAGAATTTTCCAACATCAACTCAGACGTTTGTAAAAATAAGCCAATGCAACGCCTTCGTATGCGTATCCGTCTGTCTCACAAAGACACGCTGAAATCAAAAAAGTAGCCACATTAATTTAACCAAAGATATGAGAGTTTAAAAAAAACAGGGTGAGTAATGTAGGCTTCTGGAAAATGATCGACAAAAGAGCCGTTATCCCCAACGCAATTATTTTTCCAAAGTGGTAATACCTGCCCTGTATGCAAAACGTTGCAGGGGAAATGGCAAATGATCTCACAGCTGTCGGGCACTTGGTACTCCAAGCTTAGGTCACTTAGGTCACTGAAATATTTGTCTGCAAAGATGTTTTAATTAACAGGAATTTTAGAAAATTTTTAGAAAAGCTAAAAGTCGCTGACTCAACTATGCGTTAAGTTCTACTTTAATTTTTATAAATATTTATTTTTCTTCTAAATGATGCACTGAATTTAGTCATTCAGTATGTTTTATTTGTTTGTTTACATCTGGCTTGTGGACAACAGTTAAAAATTAGCCATCTGGCAAACATTGTATATTTGACCTCTTCGGACAAAGCATTATCCTTGATAAAATTTATATAATTTATATGATCTATATTTAACTTTCTTTTAACTTGCTCTTTGTACTGTGTTTGTACATTAATTTTACCCATTATTTAACAGAAGTCATATGATTGCAGCTTATTCAAATACATAATACACATAACTGAGACTAAAGACAAACTGTGATTGGATGATTTTCTCAAACAGCAGAGTTGCATCTGTAATGCTTCAATACATCACTTACTGAACACTACTTTCAAAGATGCACTCAGTACAACACAACGTGTATATCTTAAATACAAAAACTGTGGCATTTTTTCAGAGTTGCCCGTTCAACTCCCTCTGCTCTGGATTTACTACATGTCAGAGAATAACCTTACACGCAGAAGCATGTGACATTAGCCAGGATCCAGAAACAAATGTTATACAATTAATCTGATCATTTCGTCGTAGTCAGATGTCTACTTTTTTTCCATAATTATTCCATCCTGAAAATACATATTAAAACAAAATGATCAAAGAGAAGAAAGGACCTCTGCAAATATAACAAAATATGCTTATATGAGCTGGACTAGAATATTCAAATAGGATATTTGTTCACTGGGACTTTATAAAATCTCAGCATGGGTGCCCGCCAACTTACAGTGAGACTACACAGTGATTGGCCCAAGATATTACATTCTAACACTGTCATACAGCAATATACTAAAGGCAACTGTCCACAAAGAAAAGGTTCCAACTTCACTGTAAATACAAAACGGCTTCTCTTCCTTTTTGCAGCTCTTTATCTTACTTTTACTTCATAAAACCCCAGGAAGCAATTCTGCTCATGAGGAACTACTCTGGAGTTTTACTGGACTAACTTGAACAGAGAACGCTGCTTATTTTCATCTTATAGCAAATCACAGGTAGAGTGCAAAAACAAAGTTAATAAAAAAAAACCCATAATGATTCCATATTAAGCTAAACTAAAGGAAGTCTATAAGATTTAAGCCCAAGCTAAATAACTAATTAGATTTATCCAAACAGTCCATTATCACTGTCACGCCTGCAAACTGGCATGTGGCACCATGTGCAGTAAAGCTGGGTGATTTCCAAGTGAAAAAACCCCACACCTTTACTGGCCAGTTAAAAAATAAAATAAATATATTAAGTAAATACTGTGCATGCAACAGTAACGACAATCAGAAAGGACCGTGTAGTAAAACTGATTGAAGAGTATTTAGAAACTTTCTAGAAAATAAATAAATAAGTATGGGTGTAAATCGATATGTAATTAACTCTACGAGCTAATTCTGTATGGTGTCACTTTAATGTGTGTTTGGTATCTTGCCTTTCTCTCATAAATTGCGATCCAGTCTGTTGTGGCGAACCATTTGTGTCCTTTGATGTCATTGACTCCATTCTTCAAGTTGCCGTAGCGTTTGGTCAGATCCACCTGCAGCAGGTTTCTCAACAGGTCCTTTAAATCGGAGCTGAAGTGAGACGGGAACCGAACCTGAAAAGGCCACAAGTGTTAGGATTTCATTTCTAGTAGTTAATC